ATATGTGGACATAACTCATATGAAACAAGAATTTGATATCTATTTCCTTGTAGATTCTACTAATGATAATATTAGATGATGCAGAGTTAATTCAATAATGAAATAATACAAAGAGATAACAAACAGTTATGATCTAAAACATTCTAAAAACAGCAAGAATGATAGATCTGTTGTAGTGCCTCATATGCCCCAGCTGGCAGCCAAAATTTGATTTCATGGAGGGGGCTAGAATAAAATCTGTGAACAGGGGGCACATTTGGATTCTCAGAAATTCCAAGGTTATAGATCAGGGTATCGTTTCAAAAAAGCATCGTAAGTTGTACGTAGTACGTAAGTACGACGTAAGTAGTACGTAACAAAATTTCGGCGTTTCACGAAAGCGTCTTAATTCACGTTGTATCGTACGTTACGACGTAACTTTACGTCACCTTGGAGGTGACGTAAAATTACGTCCTAACGTTGATTTCCAAAAATGGCAGCTTTCATGAGAGTCACAGACAAACAAGTGCGTCGAAATTTACGCAGACAACGCGTGTTCCGGGACAGACAGAATCCACTTGATGCATATGACGACATCGATATTATCCATCGTTACCGGTTGGACAGAATGACCATCATTAGTATCATTGACATGGTTCAACATCGTCTAGAGAGACCAACAAAAAGATCTGCGAGTCTTCCAGCCTCTTTGCAAGTGTTTGCTACTTTAAGATTCCTTGCTTCTGGCTCCCAGCAGAGAGTGATTGGAGACACTCTTGGAATATCCAAGGCATCTGTTTGCAGGTACTTAAATACAAGGATGATGATATTAATTTTTATGAAAGTTTTATCCAAATTTCAATAGGCCTTTTTCAAAAATGTTAAATTGTCCTCTCCCAACTCTTGATAAAAAAAATTGGAAGAGAAAGACCTATAAAGGCAGAAAAGAAAAGAAAATTGAAATACAGCTGTTGTAGGGATAAGAAGAAAATTGTAATGAAACAAAAGAATCGTTTCCTGAAAAGGCTTGAAGATTTAAAAAAAAAACTAATTTGGTCCATTTTTTCGTCCTTCGGTAGAGAGAGAGTAAACTTTAAAATGCCCTTATGATAAATTTATACAATATAAAATTTTGATTAGGTCTATAGACGATGTTATCAACGGACAATGACCAACATAAAGTTTCCGACTGGTGATGCCGAGACAACAAGGACGAAGGTTGGTTTTCATGCAATCGCTGGTTTCCCTAATGTCCTTGGCGCCATCGACGGGACTCACATACCCATCACGGCACCTACAACAGATGAACATTTGTACGTGTGCAGAAAAGGATATCATTCTATCAACGTCCAGGCCATAGCTGATTGTGATATGAAGTAAATATGTTAAACTTGTAAAAAAAACTTTATGAAAAACTATCCGGCAGAGTTTGGAAAGAAGCATCACACTTAAATAAAACTACTAGTATTACGCACATCCAGGTAGCAGCGTTTTTGAAAGTGGAGGGGGGGGGCAGCCAAAGAATTTTTTTTTACTTACCAGAAAAGTTTACTTGTGTAAGCGAAAAAAGGGAAAGTTGCCCTAAGTCGAAAATCCTATTTCGTGCAGGGGTTGGGGGTGGGGGATGAAGCCACCTTTTTTCAATGCATCTCAGTACCAATTTTACTGACTTAAAATATTACATTTTTCTTATTCCACAAAAAGTGGGGGGGGGGGGGGGGGGGGGGCAACCAGCCTTTCAATGAATATCTACTACAGTATAAGTAATGTTGGGGAAAAAAGTGGGGGGTCACCCCCACCCCTCTTGTTGCTACGTGCCTGACGCAAGTGAATTCATGCGAGTTTTGAGTTTTGAATAAGTTCTGTTTGATGACAGTATCTGGAAGTGCCAACTTATCTACAAGAAATGATTCAATTCATATGTTTACATTCTCTATATTTCTCTTTGTATTTCTCTCTGTCTCTCTCTCATAAAAATTTAATTTACTTTCAGAATAAGTGGTTGTATTTCAAGAATAATTGTCTTATTTTTCTATTTTATAATGTGATCAATCGATTAATTGGCTTGCGTGTTAATTTGCATAAACGCCGAAGGCATAAAATTATCACGCAAGCCAATCGATTGATCATCGTCATGAAATCGGAAAATCTGACAGTTATTCCTAATTTACATGGTGTTGATTCTGTCAATCCACGTGCTAGAATCCCGGCCCACTTGTCTATTTTTGTTCTGCCCTGCACGTGATATTTTTTTTTACCGCGCCCATCGATGAAGAAAAATACATGAACTATGTGTAATTTTATCTCGAACAAAGACATTGGAAATGTAAATATATATTGTTTAACTCTTGAACCTAATCTTGGGGCGTGTTTGATTGCCATTTTTAGGTCACCTGAGTAAACTCAGGTGACCTATTGCTATCTGTTTTTGTCCGTCGTCGTACGTCGTGCGTTGTGCGTCGTGCGTTAACATTTAAACATTTTCAGCTTCTTCTCTGAAACCACTGAACCAATTTCAACCAATTTTGGCATATAGCATCTATGGGTGAAGGGGAACAAAAATTGTAAATTTCTAGGGGGTGGGGCAAAAACCACTAAAATTAGTGCAATCTTTAAAAATCTTCTTCTTTACTCCCAGACATCAAGCAGTCAAACTGTTGGTATGATTGTAATCAGCATTTATAAAATTGTGAAATTCATGGCCGCAGGGTCAGGGGTTCTGGTGTTAGGGTGGGGCTCTATTGATTATATAGTGAAAATGCATTAATTCTTTGAAAATCTTCTTCTCTGCTCCTGGTTATTAAATAAACTAATTAAGTTCATAGTTATGATGAGCAAGAGTGCCTCTACCAAAATTGTGAATTTTATGGCCCCAGGGTCAGGGGTTATGGTGTTAAGGCGGGGCTCTATTGATTATATAGTGAAAATGCATTATTTCTTTGAAAATCTTCTTCTCTGTTCCTGAGTATTAAATAAACTAATTAAGTTCATAGTTTTGATAAGAAAGTTGGCCTCTACCAAAATTGTGAAATTCATGGCCCCAGGGTCAGGGGTTATGGTGTTAGGGCGGGGCTGTATTGATTCTATAGTGAAAATGCATTAAATCTTTGAAAATCGTCTTTGCTACTAGGTATTAAATAAACTAACTAAGTACATAGTTATGATGAGCAAGAGTGCCTCTACCAAAATTGTGAAATTCATGGCCCCAGGGTAAGGGGTTCTGGTGTTATATATATATAGTGAAAATGCATTAAATCTATGAAAATCTTTTTCTCTACTCCTGGGTAATAAGCAGAATGAACTATTAACATAGTTATGATGGGATGGGCTCTTCTTCCAGAATTGTGAATTTCAAGGCCCCTGGGTCAGAGATACCAAAATGGGGAGGGGTGCTCTACTTATATACTGAAAATGAATTGTTTGAAATCTGCTCCCCACATTTTTGATAAAAAAAAATTGTGCAATGTGTAACAGGGTCGGGGTTCATGTGTGGTATATATTGCTGAATATTTCTGATTAGTACATACTTTTTCGTTCCCCTACCCTGCTTATCCATATTAAGTAAACAAACTAAACAATTGCTAAGTGTATAATTATGATTAGCAATGGTGCAGAATTGTGAGAGAGAGATTCAATCATTTGAAAGTTGTTCATGATGCTCAGGTGACCTATAAGGCCCATGGGCCTCTTGTTAGAATGTAGCAAATATAAATTGTGCGTGTCCCCACATTTGAAAAAAAACACAAATATTCGAATTCTAGAGAGAGAGAGAGAGAGAGAGAAAGATGTCGATAATGACGTTGATCGATTGCCACGCCTCCAATACATATCGATTACGTGACCTAAAACATCCCGTGTACATGTCAAATCCCGGACAAAGACACTCATGTATCGTTCCTTCTATTCTGATTCATTTTGCACGAATGCTCTCCCTAGTATAACTTGATATAATTTAGCAGTAATATTTTGTTTATACAGGGACAAACAATATATGCAACTTATTTGGTTTCTTCTCTAATAGATTTCTGAGCATTGTTAGTAAATGGCCAGGATCAACGCATGATGCATTTATATGGTCCAATTGTTCGATTGCGCAGAAATTTGAAAATGGGCAAATGAATGGGTGGATATTGGGCGATTCTGGGTACCCTTTAAGACCATTGCTCCTGACACCAGTTGGTAATCCAACTTCCCGTGGAGAAGACCGGTATAATGAATCTCACAGGAGAACTTGTGTGGTAGTAGGCCTTTGGGGTGCTGAAATCTCGCTTCAGGTAATCCATTTCAAATGTACTTTGATCTTTGTGGACACCAGAAAAATGTTCCCCGATCTACTAACAGTGATGTTTTAATTCATCCTTATACTTTTTAAGAAAGAATTAATCACACTTATGAATTCGCTGAAATCCCTTTTCTGTTTCCGCGAATACAGCGAATATCAACTCCTCGAGTTAATTTCCTGCTGTACAGTATAATCAATTGTTTAAAGGTGTCTCCACAAAACAGGCGGAGCTCTTGAGTACACACCAGCAAAATGCTGCAAGATTGTATATGTATGTTGTCAACTCCATAATATCTGTATTGATAAACGGATTCCCATTTTCGAGGAACCTGAAGAAGCATTAGTTGAAGCTCAAAACGAGGTAACTTACCAGGGCCCTATCAATGACGGCAAAACAACCAGAGAACAATTGATAAGACAGCGATTTGCATAGGTAAGGTGCTACATGTATACAATTCACGTTCATAGATAATCACATGTGTAGGTACTAGGAATATTCACATTTCACTTCTAAAGAAAATGAGAAATTACAATAAATGTATTTAAAATCATTTATAGATATTTTAGTAACGTTTTTGAACAATTCAGCGTAACATTAACTGATAAATACTAATAATTTAATATAACAAAACAATAAACTCTCTCTCTCTCTCTCTGTGGTGTGTAATACTGTATTTTACGTATTTCAAAAATATTAAAACACATACACACTCTCTCTTTTAGTCTCTCGCTCTCTCACTCAGCCACTCAAGGTGGAGAACAAGTCTATCAATACATTATTTTCTTCCCCAGCTGCAACTCTCTCCTGTACTGACTTTAAAATGTTAATTTGAAGTCTAGCTCTCTCCATCTCTAGCTTGTTCTTCTCCAGCTCCTGTTGAAGAACTTGGCACTGAAGATCGTAAACGTCTTCCACAGTTCTTTTCCGCTTTAAAGCTGCTTTTTTCCTATAAAATTTTAGATCACACACTTTTACATGTAGAAAAGGTTATGTAAATTCATCAGTTTCAATTTTTCCTCAGAAATACCCATACGTTTTGGCTGGTTGAAGGTGCTTCTCTGGATCCTCAGGAATTGTTGGGGTAGCGGCTTGTTCACTAGAAGATGGACCTGGGGATTGCCGTGGTGTTGGGACGGCAGCTCGCTCAGATGTAGATGTAGCTGGCGAGAGCCACACATCTTCTACTTTAAAGAGATCGACCTCTGAAATATGAATTAAATATTAATATTTTGCATTACTTGTTTTCATTAATAAGCATAGGCGTCGGAAGCAAATTGAATTGGGGGGGGGGGGGGGGCTAAACCAACAAAAAAAGGTAAACCCCAATTTTCAATGCCTATATTATGTACATATTTACATTACAAAAGTCAGGGGGGCACAAAGCCCCCACCCCTATTCTGACGCCTATGACAAGGTTAATGGTATAGTATGAGTTAAAAGTAGATGAAATCAATATAAAATGTGAACTCGCCGTTTACAGCATCTGTATCAAACCCGCCTTCCACACCTTCTATTGATGTCTTGCCTATTATTGCAACAACCTGCAATTAAAAATTAGCGATCAATTATGCAGTACATAATTATGCTTAGGTTATTGTACATGTAGTTCTGTAAATTACAATTATTTGATGTACATAAATTCGAATGGTATACCTTTTGACTGATGTCAGATGAGTTGACAGGAGCAGGGGCAGGTCCACCACCAGTTCTCACAAGTTCCCTTCTGTATTGGGCCTCCTTCTTTTTAGTTTGAGATGAAATATCTCTCCATTTTTTGATGATTTCAGCGGACGTCCTCTCCTGGATACCGTTGCTGTTTATTCTATTGATGAAAAAAGTCAATATGTCAACAACAGATGTAAGAGTTTTAGGTCAGAGAAAAAGAAACTTCTAAAATTCAATATAAACTATTATTTAGAAGCCTTTAGTAAAACACTTCATTGATTTTTTTCCCTAGTACGAGTAATTTATTTCCATTCATGCGTTCACAAAATAGAATACGTTTAAGTATTTATTCATGTTATTTCTAGGATGGCATGAATTTTTTTTCTTGCAAAATTGTTTGCAAGCAAAAAACAAGAAGGAAGAAACTCAAAAACTCTCAAGCTTACTTCTTAAACTATAACCCCCCCCCCGGTTCGCTTAAACCGTGTTTTACTGTATATTCTGATATTGAAAATCCCCCCCCCCGGGTCAACCGTTTACACTGCGCATTTCAGGGTAACAAAGGTGGATTGAAAATGAATTTCAAATTAGAAATTTCAATTAACTTTTATATATTTTCTTCAGAATAGTATGCGCTGGTAAAATTGCGCCTTTTCGTTTCCTTATGGACTTGATTACATGTACCTTAACGAAGAAATATAATCTCGTGATATATCAGAATTAATGGATATTGAATATTATATATATTCACATTAGCCAAAAAATTGTATGCTAATTAACACTGATATTCAACATTTTTCAATTAGGACATGGTCCTTGTCAAAAGTCTCTTAAAGGTACTTGGACACAGATTTGAAGTTATTATTTTCTCTATAATATTACGACTTATATATATTATTATTATGCTTCCTGTCAGTTTGTCTCTATATATAACCCATACCCTACTATTCTCGCATAGTGGTCTAAGGATTTATATAGCGTAAGCATACTATGCCGAAATAGTGCACGGCCTTATTTTCTGAATAAAATTCTACAATGCACACACCGGGAATCGAACTCACGACCATGAGGTTGCCAGTTCGATGCCTAACCGATTACGCCACAGAGACGATCACTGATTGGGAGAATTTTATTAAATATATAAACTTAATTTATACAATTGACAGAAGAAGGAGAAAATAGACAAATATTATTTGAAATCAGTTATATTTATTCTAAGGAATCTTAGATAAATGTGTACAACACAGTTTCAAACTAATTACATACAGATCGTTAGATGAATTGATATCATGGGGTTTAAAACGCTTTTTTATATAGCGCTTGATTGAAGGATGTAAAAGAAAATTATCAATGAGAATCCACGTCTGTAAACAAATCAGTCTTACTAACAAAACAGAAAATAAAGATGAGTATCTTTGGGACAGAAAATCCTGAGTTATTTTGAGAAAATACTAGTAACCAAAATAACTAAGCATGCAACTAATTTTAGCATGAAGATTTTGAATGAGTTTTTGCAAGAGCGCTGTGTTACCACCATTATTTTCGGGAAAAAATCAAATGGATTGCCGCATAAATAATAACAACAGTCAGCATAATAATAACAATAGTGTTGCATTATGCATGTACTATGCCTAAATAGTAGGCAGGGTTTGACACATAGTACACTCGCCTCCGGCTCGTGCACCATGTGTCAAACCCTGCCTACTATTTAGGCATAGTACATGCATAATGCAACACTATTATATAAATAGCATTTCAGACAAAAATTAATTAAAAATCTTATTTCGTTTAAAAGATATTCAAATTTCAGATTTTTCGGCGGGTTTGATTGACATATCCTTGCACTCTCACAAATTTAATTTTATTCTTAATCCTTAGGAAAAGTGGCAATCTCGTTTTGTATAAATGAAAAATATTAATACTATATATAATCCAGAAAATTCAGAGTAGACACGTTCGAAAGCAAAACAAACACACAATATATTGTCAGTCCGTGCAGTTGTGGTAAGCAGACTGTGACGATTGAACGCACCCGGTGAATTCTAAATATAAACAATAACAGAACTCGAGCCCTGTTTAAAAAAAACTGTGTACATAACAAGAGTGTGCTCGATTTGCTAAACTCTGTACGCATCTCTTAGTTCGGAATGACGATACTTGTGAAGGTGTTTTGCTTTCTAACATTTCTACTCTGAATAAAATTATTTTTCTTGATAAAAGTTCTAATATTTCTCATTAAAACACATCAAAATTGACACTTTTCCTAAGGATTAAGAATAAAGTTAAAATTTGTGAAAGTGCAAGGATGTGTCAATCAAACCCGCCAAAAATTTAAAGTTTTAATAACTTTTAAATGAAATAAGATTTTTAATTAATTTTTGTGTGAAATGATATTAAATATACAATTCGTGATATTATACAGAAAAAAATGAGAAAATATTAACTTCAAATCTGTGTCCAAGTACCTTTAAAAGAAATATTGGCATTTTAATATCATTTTCAAGCCAGACGTTCATACATGTAGTCGGGAATGGATTGGCCTTTCCTCTCTTCTAAATTCTAAATTCCTTGAACTCTAAAACTTCAAATTAACAAAAGCCATTACCTGTTTATTTTTGAAATGGACAACCCATCCCCAATTTTTTGTTGCAAATAATCTGATAGCCCCCATCCCCGCCCCCCCCCCCCCTTCGGCTTGTCAAAATAATTTCTTTCCTTTTAAGCCTACCATTTATTGTCTCTGTCTCAACTTTTCCAAAACAATGACAATTGCGTTAAATTACAATTCCAACTGATACCATTAACATTAAAAAAATCTTTTCAGGAACCGACTAGGATATAAATTTGAAGTCACGACTCTCCCCCTCCTCTCCCTCAATTTCTCCCTTATAAAAAGATCAAGTTGGTCTGGATTATAGGAAAATTAAAAATAAAATCATTCCGTTTCCTTATATCCGATGTAAGGTGGCAATATGTGCTGTACCGAAAAGGTAAAATTAAATAGGACTAAAAGCCCAAATGTTATATTTTTATATTCATAAGTGTCAAGTTTTAAACGTAAACATGCAGACGATTTCATTCATCATTGCATTGCTTTTGGTAAGTAATCGTTTTCTTCTCTTTCGCGAGTCCCTTTACATGATTGCTAATTAACTAGCATATGATATTCAACTATCCTACTTCACTCACTGTAAGCTCTTCATTCTGTTTCATAAATGTTATTGTCTGAGATGCACTATGTGACATTAAAAGGAAACTCGAACATTATAAATATCAATGTGAGGGGCGCATCAGGGATAATGTTTAGCGACTACGTGTACATACTGACCTACTTAATGAAATATTCAAAACGTATGGATACATTTTATATTAATATACTGAAATAGTAAACAAAGCTAAAAATGTTTATATTATAAAATGCTGTATACATACAAGGAACAAATGTTCTTCCAACACTCATTCTTCTTCTGATTGGTGTTGACGTCTTTATGAGGCGCAAACAGTATATCCTTCTGTTTCTCCACCTCCTCTACCAGGGCCTCTACTTCCTTCGCGGTAAAATTCTTCTTTCTCTCTTTCTTAATTTTAGAAATTGTTTCGTCTGCCATATTTTTTGACTTCCGGTAAAATTACGTAGTACATAAGGTGCGATTATTTACGACAGTTCTAAGTACCTTTCGTGAAACGGTCTTAACGTGGAACTTAGGTACTACTTAACTTCGTCGTAACTCGCTAAGTAGTACATGTACGTAATTTACGATGCTTTTGTGAAACGATACCCAAGTGTCCAAAAGGAGTATGCATTCCCTGTTGACTAATCACACCGGCCATGATTTAAAGGAAACGTCGGGTCTAGAATAACTTTTTGATATTTCATTTATTGAATGGTCATTAATGAATTTTACCTGATACTGCCATTTGTTTTTACTTAATTATAAAGTAATAAGACACCAAAGTTATGAGTGAACTGGGCAGCCATGTTGAGAGATAAAGTTATCGCGCTTGCTAAATATTTCCCACAATTCTCACTTTTGTGACGTCTTGGGGGACATTGGCTCTAAGTGTAAACATTATCATCTTGGAATCACATCATGAAAATGTGCAAATAAAGTGCTTGTGATATCATTTTGAATCTGGTTTTAATAAAGGAAATATAATTTCACATTCTAATGCATCTAGTGTTTCAGAATTCAGGAAAATAAAAGAAGGAATTAATAATAAAAAGCCATAAACTGGCCGGGATGTAACTTTACTTAAAACTTAGCTGCAAAGCTTGTATATTTTATTTGATTGTAATTCAAACTTTTAAAAGTTCAAATGTGTCCAAGAAGGATGTAAATCTATCTCCTATAAATGAATTAGCTTATTTTTGATGTAAGGAATTTTATTTCTCTGCAGTCATATGGCATTTCATCTGTCTGCACTACGTCAGCATCGGCCATGATCAGGTTTTCCCCATGCTGCTCCAATTAAGCTATCAAAATTGAATTTAACTGCTGTTATCAGCAGTGAAGTGTTATAAGATGCAGCTTTTCTTATTATATGATTGGTACAGTTTTATTTATCGAAATTAAAATTCTGGCCATACGTCTCCTTTAAGCATTATTTATTTAATATTTTATTTTTTTATAACCTTTTCTGGAATACAATGTAACTATGTAAGAAACAATATATGAATAAACCAAAAAAAAAAAACCAATGTAAAAGAACTTATTGTTTTTCATACTTTGATTTTAGAAAGCAAAACTAGTACATGTAATCCGTTGAATTTCTTTTCTGAATGATTGCTTGATTGATGGTTTGTTTTATTTTTTGAAAGTATGTTGAAATAAACATAAGAGGAGAGGAGAAAAAAAGCTTGTTAAATATGAATTAAATGTTTTAAAGTACAGTGTTTGTTAAGAAGTTTGGAATCAAAAAGAGGAAAAATAAACCCAGGTGCATACTTTGATGGTATTTCTTTATTATAAAGTAATATGCAACTGATTACAAAAGAAGTGTTAGTCATGTATGAATATTTTGGATTGACTTATGCAAAGCTAAAGAGGAATTTTGAAAACACATTGTGTTTATTGTCATGCACGTACAAAAGAAATAAAATTGAATCTATAAGTAGAGATTTTTCCTAATCATTTTTGTGAGTTTGAGGTGATTTCATATAGAAAACCATAGATGATAATTTTTAACATATCTGCATTGCATGATGTGTATGACCACAAAGATAAAATTTTTTAAAAAATCCAAAATGAGACTGAGGACAAAATAAAAGGCTTTGTCAACAGATTTCAATTGAAGGATACCACCCCCTCTATCACCCCCACCAAAAAAAAAAAAGAAAAAAACCTAATAAACTTGAACAAAATATAATTACAATGAAATAAAAAAACAAATACAAAAAACAAAAGCAATGACTTCATACACATTTTTGTCCATTCCTGGGAGCCTATACTTCTCCACACAAATTGGTGACTCATTTGTAGCTTTTTTATAGCCTTCAATAAGTACCAGTATATGAGAAAGGGTATAAAAGACTAGTATAGATTTGAAACACCAAAGAAATCACAAAGAAAACTTGGAATGTAAATGATATATATAACTTTCAGAAAGCAAGAAGGAACACATATATATATTTGAGAAGTCATAAAATCTGGTAAAAATTCATCTCCAACTGATTTGTTGCAATGAATGAACAAAAGAACTATTTCAATGCAAATATGAGTTAATAATAACAAAATCTGCACAAGAAATAACACTCTTGTTATTGAAAAACTAAATAAGAAATCACCTGCAATGAAGGACACTGGCACAGAAAGACTGAATAAATCATCCTTGGAAATTAGAGCCAAAGTACACCTTGCTCGAGAGGAGCATGGGCATGGTGGAAATGAAAAGGTGGAACATTGTTCATATTTTAAAGTAATATTCAGCTCCAAGGCTCCTGCTAATAGCAGCAATCTGAAGTGTCCTAAATTAACCACTCAAAAACTCAAAAACATAAATGGAATGACAGAAAAAAATGATAGACTTGTTAAAAAGAAAAATAACCCATAAATATCACTAACCAGAATAGCAAAGCTATGCATTAACCTTTTTAAGGCAAGAATATGAAGTACCATTTTAAAAAATAAAATTGGAAGTTTTGAAAAAGAAATTCATAATCAGTGACAAAAACTTAAAGAGCAAATAGTTTAGGGAAATGCTCAAGATCCAAATAGAAACACTAGTACACAGAATAATTAGAACTATGTCACATTATGATAGAAAATGGTATACCACTAGGTTGCTGCAAAGCATCCTGGAAAGTTTTGTACAGGTCTTCCCTGCCTTTAATTTGTAGAATGTTATATGCTTCCTCCAACTGGCTGGCTGAATCACAAGTCAATATACGCTCATACTGTTGTAGAAAAGAAGATCATGACAGCAATGGATTCAAAAATTCATTTAGAGAGGAAATTCCATTTTTTTTCCCAGTTAAACAAGTATAATGAAGAGATTAAATTGTGCATCATAAAACCTGCTGAACATAATGCCCAATGTGAAGCAGTCCATGTACTTCACACAAAAGGTCCAACTGTGCTGGGCCACAGGGAGAATACATATTTACGCACTCTTCTAATGTTTTGCATGGGATTAATCGTGCTAGTCTACCTTTTTTCACAGAGCTAAGTTAAAACACATAGTAATTGTATATTTGGTACACATGTAGTAGCAAAATTAAAGATAAAAAAATGGCACAAGACTAAACACAAACATACTTAGGTTGAAGAAGTGCCAATGGAAATGTTTTAGGCCCCCTGAAACCATGCTTCAACATTTTTGAGGAAGAATGTGTGGCCACAATGGATGCTACAACATCAGGTGCATCACTTGTTAAAGCTACGTTCTCGCGAGAATAGCAGCAAAAGTTCAACTAACAGTAACCATGTCCTGATTTAATGGATAAATATTGAAGATAAATAGTAAACAGAAGGTTCTTCATTTACTTTCAGCACTGTTCAGGCTTCTTTTTGGAAAATGTAACTTACATACGATGTCAAGTGACGTCAGAGTCAAGACGCACTAAATGTCACGTGCAGTTTGACGAGCCCGATCTAAATCATAACAAAATAAATATCTGCGTTCTGCATAACGTTCGCACCGTCAACATATTATTTAGAGAAAGAATTATTGTTATAACGTATACTATCGTCTTTTTATTTCTAAAATTTTAGGTCAGGACTGTGGATTTCTAGTTGTACTAGATTGTACTAGAGGTGGTCACTGGACCAAGATGCGCTTTTTTGTACATACTGTGAAAGAACTATATGCGGTATTAACCAACATTTGCCCCCCAAAATCAAACTTTGATGGAGTACTATTTAATTAAGTCCTTAAACAGGGGAGTATATGCTGACTTCAAAGCACTGAATAATTTCATAAGTTATGACGTCA